CTGTAGACAGCAGAACCACAGTGCGGGAGCCCTGCCAGCAGAACCCCTGGTGGAGATGCCGCCCACAGCCAGTTTCTGTCACTGTGGAGAGGCTGCCCCTCCGAGTGACAGGAGGGGGGTTGTGGGAAGCGTTCTTCCGCCAACATAGCTGGATCTACCCCCGGGCGCCGTAGCTATGGCAACTGGAAGTTTTAAGTGTCGACCAGGCAACCGTGTTCGTTCTTGAGATCTTTCCTTTTTCACTTCCCACAATGTTTAGAAATAGCTTCTGAGCCGAATCCCACCCAAACCACATTTCTTATTTCAAACCCCAGAAATGGGGAAAATAAATTGTAAAAGGCCCATTTTGATTCAAACATTTTTGAGAAAATGAAATGAAAACAATTTTGCCATTTAAAAAAATTCTCTCTGTTTTGGGCTTTATCCAATTCTTCTATGGTGTCATTGTGATGCCAGGGTCTCGCACACCCTGCACGGTCAGTCAGTGGTTTGGCTGCTCTGGTGTTCCCGTGGAGACTGACACCAGAGTCTCGCACACCCTGCACAGTCAGTCAGTGGTTTGGCTGCTCTGGTGTTCCCGTGGAGACTGACACCAGAGTCTCGCACACCCTGCACAGTCAGTCAGTGGTTTGGCTGCTCTGGTGTTCCCGTGGAGACTGACACCAGAGTCTCGCACACCCTGCACAGTCAGTCAGTGGTTTGGCTGCTCTGGTGTTCCCGTGGAGACTGACACCAGAGTCTCGCACACCCTGCACAGTCAGTCAGTGGTTTGGCTGCTCTGGTGTTCCCGTGGAGACTGACACCAGAGTCTCGCACACCCTGCACAGTCAGTCAGTGGTTTGGCTGCTCTGGTGTTCCCGTGGAGACTGACACCAGAGTCTCGCACACCCTGCACAGTCAGTCAGTGGTTTGGCTGCTCTGGTGTTCCCGTGGAGACTGACACCAGAGTCTCGCACACCCTGCACAGTCAGTCAGTGGTTTGGCTGCTCTGGTGTTCCCGTGGAGACTGACACCAGAGTCTCGCACACCCTGCACAGTCAGTCAGTGGTTTGGCTGCTCTGGTGTTCCCGTGGAGACTGACACCAGAGTCTCGCACACCCTGCACAGTCAGTCAGTGGTTTGGCTGCTCTGGTGTTCCCGTGGAGACTGACACCAGAGTCTCGCACACCCTGCACAGTCAGTCAGTGGTTTGGCTGCTCTGGTGTTCCCGTGGAGACTGACACCAGAGTCTCGCACACCCTGCACAGTCAGTCAGTGGTTTGGCTGCTCTGGTGTTCCCGTGGAGACTGACACCAGAGTCTCGCACACCCTGCACAGTCAGTCAGTGGTTTGGCTGCTCTGGTGTTCCCGTGGAGACTGACACCAGAGTCTCGCACACCCTGCACAGTCAGTCAGTGGTTTGGCTGCTCTGGTGTTCCCGTGGAGACTGACACCAGAGTCTCGCACACCCTGCACAGTCAGTCAGTGGTTTGGCTGCTCTGGTGTTCCCGTGGAGACTGACACCAGAGTCTCGCACACCCTGCACAGTCAGTCAGTGGTTTGGCTGCTCTGGTGTTCCCGTGGAGACTGACACCAGAGTCTCGCACACCCTGCACGGTCAGTCAGTGGTTTCTTTCTCCCTGCAGACATTGATGAGTGCAGCAGCGGGGAGAACCTCTGCCAGCGTAATGCCGATTGCATCAACATCCCGGGCAGTTACAGGTGCGAATGCTCAACCGGATACAAGCTGTCACCTAGCGGAGCCTGCGTGGGTAAGAGGGGCGCTCTTGACTACCTATAGCAGAGGCAATGCACATGGGCCCAGAGCTGCCAGCAAGCGATGGGCGCTAGGACTCCTCACCCCATCTCCTGTCGCGAAGGGCTCATGCCGGGGGCTGGCGGGAGGGGAACAGGGAGCCCCCCATTGTTCTCATGGGAGACTCGGGTTCTTCTCCAATGTGCTGCCCCTCAGGGACCCTGAGGTCGGGGGTCAAGGCAGGAATGTGGCTCGGGCACCTCAGAAAGGCGAGTGCATGTGCAGGATGACGGAACGTCCCTGCCCCTGTTGCTGGGTGCATAGGGGAGCCCAACGTCCACTGCCCGTCTGCGCCGCTGCTTGTCCCGGGCCACGGAGCAGCAGACACGCCCCTTTCCTAGGCCCGCAGCGTTTCTCAGCACCACACGGACTGTGCGTGAGACCAGCTTGCCGTCTGATTCTTCTGCACGCCCTCAGGTCCACATGCTGACAAACGGCTGTATCTCCTGGGCGCTGCTGGAGCAGATTTGAGGTTGTCTGAGCAAGGGGTTCCCAAGCTACTGCTAACAAAATGTTCCAGCTCTTACTCCAGCCCTGGTCCCCTCCCAACAGGCTCGTCTGGTCGGGGGTGACTACAGGCCTGGCCCTTTGGGGGAGCGTTGTGTTTAAAATGATCCTACCTGAAAGTAGGAATAAGAGATCCTCCGGAAAAGGGCTTTATTCCGGAGGATCGCGCCAGTCTAGACGCTCTTTTCCGGCTTTTCCCCAAGCTGGAAAAAAAGCGGCGGCCATGTTTATTTAAATCCCGCAGGGGGATATTTAAATCCCCCGCGGATTTCCCTATTCTGACTTGCCTGCTTTGCATGCCTCTTCCGGAATTAGGGGCCAGTCTGGACATAGCCCTAGCGAGTAGAATAGCAGGAATTGAAAGGCTCTCGAGAGCAGAAGCCTTGGGCCAAAGAGATTGTGGTGCGTGCCCCCCCTTTTCCTGAGCAATGGAACTGCTTGTGCTCAACGGTCTTGCTGAGCTTTGGGATCTGGCCCTGTTCTAAGATCCGGCCACGCCAGCCTAGGGGCCCCAGAACACTCTCCCCTGTCCAAGGGGTCCCTCATGACAAATAGCCACAGAGAACAAGCCCCCGAGAGCTCCCACCTGTCGTCTCCCCCTCCAAAGCACTGGGGTTCCTTGGAAAAGGGGCCAAAGGAAATGTCAGATAATAGGGCGCTATAATGGGGTGGCACTCACTTCCGGCCAGCACCCCCACCCTGTCTAAGTGTGCATCCCTGCACGGCCTAAGCCTTTTCGGCCACTCCGGCCGAGGCACACCCCTGTGCGAATCAGAGCCCCGTCTTGGTGCCCTCTGTTAGCGTCCCTCGTAGTGCGTTGCCCACGCTGGTCGAGAGCAGCGCCTCCAGGTCTTCTCCCTGAGGGTATGTCTACACTACAAAGTTAGTTCGAACTAACGGACGTTAGTTCGAACTAACTAATAGGCGCTACACTAGCGCTCCGTTAGTTCGAATTTAATGCGAACTAGCGGAGCGCTTAGTTCGAACTAGGTAAACCTCATTCCACGAGGATTAAGCCTAGTTCGAACTAGCTATTTCGAATTAAGGGCTGTGTAGCCCCTTAATTCGAACTAGTGGGAGCCTAGCCCTCCCCAGCTTTCCCTGGTGGCCACTCTGGCCAACACCAGGGAAACTCTACTGCCCCCCTCCCGGCCCTCCCGCCCTTAAAGGG